CACTTTCAATTTTTCAGACATTCCTCTGCAAATATTGAATCAAATTCATAAAAATCCAAGGACTGAGCGGAGAGAGAATATAAGCTAATTATTGATTTCTGGTAGATTGATTTTTTTAAGCTTCCCAAACATTTGTTGAAAAAGTTGGTACCATATTTGAACGACCATGTACTCGATTCATTCAGAGAGCCATTTCTTATTGGCGATTTTTTATTTCGTGTTTTTAAAATGGGCGAAGTTTTTGCGTTACTTTCCCTGGCTGGCATTTTCAAATTGATTGTCAAATATAACTTGTAAGTTCATGAAGTTTTTTTTTTTTGATTTCTTACAAAATTTTTCATATGCGTTGATTACCTTAATTACTTTTTAGAACTTCATTATTTCTTTTTGGTCTTGCAAAATTCAAGAAAACTACACTAATTGCTAGTTTTTTCAAGTAAGAAAGTTTTTTTAATTTGGATTTTATGTTCAAATTTCAGTAATTTTCAGCGAATTCCCAAATTTTTACCAATGTGCTTACGAGTTAATAACACCATCTATATGTTACCTGACTTATCGAGAAAAGTTTTTCACACTTCTAGATACTTTTCTCTCATCGTCGTAAGTTATTTAATTTTTCTTGTCATTTCCACTATCTGATTGTCATTATTGTTTATTACTCTTTTTTTCTATTAGGTTGCCATTACTAATATTTGAAAATGTTTTTATGCTTATACGAATTTCCAGACACCTTCCTACATACATTGTCGCTGCGTTTGTGAAGCGTTTGTCTTGGCTAACTCTTTTAGCTCCTATTTCATGTCAGGAACCTCTGTTTGCTTTAATAGGAAATTTGATAACACGACACAAGGATGTGGAATTTCTGATGCACAGAGATAATCCAGGTACCTGATGTTTTTATTTATTGTTTCTGCGTGAGCATATGAGCAATATTTAGTCGTTTCCAGGCAATATATATATATATATATATTTAGGGATCTTTAGATACCTATAATCATCCGACTTCCAATTTTAATAGTATCCAAAAATTCATTTTTTTTTTTTTTTTTTTTACAGAAACATTTTCTGATGATCCTTATAATGAAAAACAAATGGATTTACAAAAATGTGGAGCTTTCGAAAGTTCACTATGGGAAATCAAGGTTTTGATACATCTTGATGCACCTTAATCTTTATATCAAATATCGAAGAACCATGCAGAATGGAGTTGATAATGTTGGACTTTTTGACTTTATGAATTTTGCCCATTAAAATTTGCTCATTCATTCATTTTTGCAGGTGTTGCAGCGACACTGGTTTATAGATATAGCGAAAAGAGCAAATTTTGTTAATAGAGGGATGCAGAGGATGGAGTCATTTGTGCGCTGGAAGAACGACGAACAGTATTTCACAGAATTATTATCTAGAAGATTTGGAAGTGAACCATTGAAAAATAAGGAGAAGGGAAAATTCCGAAGAAACCAGGTTCGTTTTAAAAGATTGATTTAAAAGGAAATATTAAAGATTAGCTGAAAATGTTATACTTCTAGTCACATTTCAGAGAACTTGTCTTTGTTTTTTTTTATCTGTAAGCAATGAGTAATTCAATTAAGTACGCAAATCATAGTAAATAATTCGTTTTTAAACTGTTGAAGTGTGCGGTGAAATTGACAATATTTTTCGTGATGTGATAATTGAAAATTTAGGATTCGGAATCTTCAGATGACAGCTCTCAGAAAAATGATGATCATCCAGTTAAAAAACGACCGAAACTATTTAGGAATACAAAAAGTTATAACTGTGTGATTGCAATTAGTGACAGAGAACCACCGGTTCATCTTTTTAGTAGTGATTTCAAGATACAGAATTCTGTTTAATTCCTCATATCATGGGCCATCCATCAGGAAAGACCTACAGTATCATTTCCTTTCATATTTCATTACAAGTTCAAGTTATTGGTAGCCAGCACAACTCAATAGAGTTGTTGCAAGTGAATCTTTTGACTTTTTTGTTTCTTATTGTTACTTTTGACTTATTTTTTCAATAAATTTGATTGTTTCTTCTGTTTTTTTTTTCTTGTCGCTTTTTCGTTTTCATTTATACGGGAATGATGAATATCGAAGTTTTGAACTGTAGCCATTTTTCATGAACAAGAAAATTGCAGATATGCCATCGTTTTTCAGCATGTGTAGAAGTGTCTTTCTGGAAATAGAAAGTCGGAGTAACTTTCCTAATGATATCTTACATTGTTTTGATTTAAGAATGCTGAATAGTGAAAAGTGAATAATCTCAGTTCATACTTTCACTGATATCGAAATTTTGATTTGAACTAATGGAGTCAGTTTGTAATAGATTCGGCGCGTGAACTTAATATTTATTCTCGATAATAAATATTAAGTTGTCGATCTTATGCCGCCAGTAAGGTTAGTTCATTTTTTTTTTAAATGGGATTGGTTTATTTCAGGTATTCATATATATATATATATCATCAGCTACTTCATGTCATCAGCGCAGTTGGTTCGGGTTCTTTCTTTGTTTGGAAGAAATCCACTGCGTCGCAATGTGCTGAGCTTTTCCCAGAATGCTTCGGAGATTCCAGCAACCTCGGAAGAACTAGCTTTATGGAAGGTCGACAAAAATAATCCCTTCCTCGAAATTCCTCAAGCATGGGTCACAACACTGGCAAGGAAAGAGGTCCAATTTTAAAGTCATAATTTTGAATATTAACTTTAAGTCAAAATGGGACTGTTTAATTTGAAATTTGTTTTGAATGAGTTGAAGCGAGCCATTTTTAATTACAATTGTATGATACATCGGTTTTCTGGACCTTATGATTTTTAGGAATCTCGGATGGATTTAATCAGTTTACATCCAAATATATTCCGAACCATGCCAAGAATTGATTTGCTGCACCGTAATATTACTTGGCAAGAGAATTACCGAAATTTAGCAATCACGAAGCAACTATCTAAGAAAGAAATGCCAGGTGGTGGTCATAAGCCATGGCCGCAGAAGAAAACCGGTCGACACCATGCCGGTTCAATCAGATCTCCCCATTTTCGTTTGGGCGGGTTCGTTCTTGGGATCTGTTTAAATAGAAATTTTTAATCAATATACTTATAAATCTTCAGAAATATGTACTGTGTCGATATTTCAATTAACAGGGTTTTTAACATCCTCCTGAGGAACTGCTTTTAGTTTTGCAAATGGAATACGTGGGCCTAAGACATGGTTTTATGTTCTGCCAGATGCGATCAGATTGGAAGGCTTGTGCATAGCAGTGACGATTAAACATGCGCAAAATGACTTGGTAATTGTTGACAATTTCGCTAGCTTGCCGAACGCTGATGCCCAATTTATGCACGATCTCGCTGATTCCAGAAATTGGGGTTATTCAATATTATTTATCAACGACAGTTCCGAAGTAAATAAATTCTCTTTTAAATTTTAAATTCTTTAGCTGGCATACTACCATTTCATTCTAGCTTTTCTTTCTGTGGCTTCTCATTTATGGTATATTCAATTTATATTTCTTAATTAAAGGAAGAGAGCAATAGTGTTTGCCGTAGAATTAAAATTGTCTGAAGTAAAACAAAACCAAAAATACTGCAATAATACAGACTAGCTAGTAGTACGAAATTATATAATAGACATGGTATTCTATTATTTCTTCACAGTGCGATAAACTGAACTGCTATTGATATTCAGGTACCTGAGAATATGGCAAAGGTATGCGATGAAATACCAACATTTAACGTTATGCCAGTCTATGGAATAAACTGTTTTAGTTTAGTGAAGCACGATACTGTGATATTTTCTCTAGCAGCTCTTCAGCTGTTTCAATCGCGTATACTTTTTCATAAGAATCGCGCACAGACATTGCAGAGAAAATATCGTTATGTGGATTACAAAAAAATTATCATGAACGAAGCGGAAAAACTTGACCCAGTTCACGTGCCATTTATTTGACAAATTTTGAAACTCCAATTTAACTAGGACTCATCCCCAAAATTTATTAAAATGTACTTAGAAGTTTTTGCTGTTCGATAAAAAACTAGTAACATACACTGTATGATGATGATTTATTGACTCTCCTTGTTGAAGTTTTTATTAGTTCCCCCCCAATCACAGCACTGATCTTCAGCTTTCTTTAAATTTCATTTGAAAAGATGGAAGTCGTTATATGATCTGTGAGTAAATATGAATGTAGTATTATAAAACTGAAAAAGAAGAATCCCTTTGAAGTTCTTTTGATGTAACATAATTACAATCCCTATTTTCTATCTCAGGGTAAAGAGATTTTTACAGACCAAATCTTGTTATGTGCCCAAAGCAAATTTCTCAAGCATACGCATTTGTACATTTAATCAAAAAGAACGAACGAACCTCACCATTTTGGAAAGCAACAAATTCAACCTTGAAATGCTTAGAAAAATAATTGTCTAATAAAGCTATCGATATGGAAGTGATCCTACTACAACATACCAGAACAGACTTCTTGATTAATTCGTTTCAAAACTGTGTATATGTGAGTGGATTGTATTATATAAATTAAATATGAATGCAGGCATATGATTTTGTATGAACAAAGGAGAACAATATCAAGTATCACAATGGTTATTTTATTTATCAGCTCCTGGGAAATTTCGAAGTCATCGAAGAAATATTGACAGAGATATTTAGATCAAATTAAATTAACTATCTAACTTCTGAATCAAATGCTACTTTCTTTTAACTTAACGATATCATCTCCACTTATAGGGAATCGAAGCTCAATCATATCACCGCATTTTCACTTTTCTCCTTTAATACGACTGTTAAAATTCGCTTGGGAAATGTATGATAGGAGATTTTATATCTGATTAAGTTGGATTTCGGAAATTTGTTTATTCTAGCCCTTGAGGGATACATCTTCCAATATTTCTTCGCGGGTTCTTTCAGCTTAACTGAAAACAATACATTGAACCCTAAAAGTGAAAGCACATATTCGAAATCAGAAACAATAAAAGAAGCCTCCCGTTCTATTTCTTGAAGCCCTTCAAGATCGGATAAATTTGATTGAATGCATCGTCGATATCTTTTTTATACTTAGCGCCCGTTATAACAACCTGGAAGAAGCAAGGAATTTTACAATTAGGTGAAATAATATGTTTTAAAAGAATGATAAACTTCTTGTTGCGCAGTAATCGTTTTAACGGCGAAATAATATGGTTTTACTAAAACCGATTATCAATAAAGTATAAAGATGATGATGAAACCTTTTTTCCTGGTTCATATTTTCAGTAAATAAATTTGACTTTTTGCATTAAACAAATCTTATACTTGCCTTTCCACTAACAAAAATAAGCAATACTACTCGTGGTTTCACCATCCGATAAATTAATCCGGGAAAGAGCTCTGGTTCATATGTAGAGAATTGAGTGTGTGTTAAACATAGGCCTTCTAGCTGTATAGGAAAACGCACATCACATGAACCAACCATATTCTGAACCTGAAACAAGTATAAAGATGGTCAGTACCTTTCAATGCTTTATAAGTTAAATTATAGAATCAGGTGCCGTTAATAGGAACCATAGATGTTTCACATTACTTCATATCTGAAAATCCATTTTATCTACTTTATTGAACTTGTTTCACGCTTCATTTATCATGGTTAACTAACTTTGAATTCAGTAAATTTTGCGTTGAAACCAAGCTTTTGTACTATCCTGGCATATTTGCGTGCGGCAAGTCTGAAATTAATAAAGCGAGTAGTGATATATGAAGCAGATTGCTTCAATTCAGCAAGAAAAACATGCTATATTGCAATGAGATAAAGTAATGTTTTGCAGTTACCACATACCTACTTGATTCCTCAGATTTTGCTCCTGTACAAACCATTTTTCCTGATGAGAATATAAGAGCAGTTGTGCGAGGTTCACGAATACGCATTATAACAGCAGCAAAACGTTTTGGATTATATTCCGCATTTCTAGCGTGCAATGCTATTTTTTTCAAATCCAGAGGCACACCTGTAATCGAAATTTTCGAAAACTTGAAAATCTTTCCTAACTTTAGACTCTCACCTAAGTTAACAGTAGACACTATATTTTGAAGTGCTGGCGATGGGATATCAATTAACTGTGATCCAGGTGTTTGTGGTGGATTTGTTGAAACCATAGGAATATTTGATGCTGGTTGAAAATGATCACCAGCAAGAGGCGTCATCGGTACTGCAAGATTTCCAGGACCTACCGAAGCCGGATTCATGTCCTGAAAAACGGCCGGTGATGAAAATTTTCTTACATTTGCCATGAATTATTTTCATTTTTTTTTCAGTAAATATCTACCTGAAAAACTGATCCAGGATTTCCACCAACATTTATAACACTCGAAGGTCCACCTCGTTCACCGCTGTAGCTCAGCAATGATCCTGGACCACCTTGGCTATTCAGTACTGATCCTGGAATAAATCTGATGCGGAACATTTGCAAAACGATAATAAGTAAAGTAGTAATTTCAGCAGCTTAAGCATAAAACTGGATTTGAAAATTTCACCAATAATGGAGCGATTTCATTTTTAGAAAAAAAATATATATATACATATATATTATATGAACAACTAACCTGGTCCGCTATGTTGCCCCAACATGCTGCCGCCAAGCACAGAGCTTGGACCAACATTTGCAAGCACTGAACTAGGTCCGGAACAGCCAACATTACTGAGATTAGCTGTTGAACCACCTCCTATCACTACTGATCCTGGTCCAAGCGTTACCGATGGACCACTCATAATATTGGACGAGCCTAAGATAGAACTAGGCCCTGATCCAGTGAGTATTGATGCTGGACCAACATGAGTGCTTGGTGTTTGACTACCAAGCGATGTTATCACCGATGCGGACTGCGATGGACTTCCAAAATGATCCATCAACCGTTGTTTTATTTACTTTCCTTATTATGCTTTATTCACTTTTCTTGTTACACCTAAAAAAGTACAGAAATTTGCTTTTCTTTTATCATAATCTTCAGTTTTCATTTCGTATAAATTTAAACAACGAATTCAAACTCAGAAAAACATTAAACAGAAGAGAAATTGCCAAGGATATAAGATATATTTTAAAGAAAGCTATGTCTCAACATACACAATAACAAAGATCTGTGTATAACAACAAAAATAAAACATGCATACACACTCATATAAGACGAAATATGACGAAATTTCTTTTTGGTATTTTGTGAAGCAGAAAAAAGTAATAAGATATTAATAGTAGAACTTTTCGTATCACAACAACTGAGATATCATGATAAGCTAATAAACAAGTCAATATCATGTAGCATTCCTCAACGAAATTTACAAATTCCAGACCTATCAACAGCTCCTTTCCTCAAGCGTTCGAAACTACTCCCATTATCACAGACAACGCCCGTGTGGCGAATTGACTCAAAGCCTCTTCCCTCTATTTTCGTCTCGAAACTCGGACGTGCTGAGCAGATAGAATCCGCCGTACCAGGTGTTACGTGAGAAAGTTCAGGATCAAAGTCTGCTGTTTGCGGAAAATGGATGTATGTAAAGCTATGAATGTACTGGCTGATTTGAGAAGTTTAACCCAGTTAAGACGTGAATTGGAACGTCTTCCAAATACTTTATTGTTACCGGTTGCTAGAAAATGCTTGGATCATTTCACGTTAGCCAACTATGCTGGATTTATCGGTAATATCCTTTCGATGTCTATTTCTTGCTGCTTTAATTAATTGGGTTAATTGATTGTTGAAATATAAATGATTAAGCTGTTTGGGTGAAAGCTCCGTTGAGTCTATTCCAAATCGATGCTAGTTGTGATTTGAACTTTTATGATTTTACGCCGTATTTGCAGTTCGCTATCAATCACAGTACCATTGAGCTTATTCACATTAATGTACTGAACACATTCGTGAGAACTGTTGAAACAAGAAACAGGTCTTACTTCTGTATCCCAACAAGATCACCATAAAATAAAAACTCTATGAGTGCCGTAGAAATAACCTTACTCAAATAATATATACGATAATAGGTTCGTTATAGATCGTAGTAAAAATTACTTCAGCAAGTAATTTTTACCACCAATTTATGTGGTTGTATAAATATTTTCTATTTCCCAAATGCACTTTAATTTAGTAGAACCGAAATTTAATTCGCATTTAGTTTCAATGTGTTTAGAGAAGCCAGTTTGTGGTGATTATGTGATGGAAGAGGAAATTGACAAAGATTTATCGTTTGGTTGCAATTCTCCATATAAATTTATTCGGTATAATTGCATCTTGTAATTGAGACTCTGTAACTGAATATTGGAAATGCTTCACCATTAATTGTTTTAGTCTCTTTTATTCTGTGGATTGAAATACAAACACCTTTTTACTAATTTTTTCTATACCGAAGTACTGAAATATTAGGAAAACAAAACTTGTACTAATTCTTATTGTTTGTAGTTTAAAATTATGTTTATGGTTGGCGAAAACCATATTAATCGACTGTTGTCCTCGACTGCAAGATGGTTTTGAGAAAAGCTGTCTTACATGTCGTTTGGTGTTGTTGTGGCAGAATCTACTGAAAGAGCCAGCTGTTGAACTGGAAAAGATTCTGAATACTTTGGTAAAAAATCTTTTTTATATTATCGTTTTCATTAGCTAAATTGTTGATCGTCCGATTTTTTTAAGGATAAAAAATTTTGATTCTCATAAATTCTAAATTTCAGGAGATTGCATCGTTCTTTTGTAATTGTAGATGAATTGTGATATTTAGGAACATATCCGAGTTGACTGTGCTTCCATAGCAGCAGTTACTGAAGCATTTCTTGAAAAGATGTATGCTCATCTGCTATACAATCAAATTAGTAGAGCTGAAATTTGTTTAAATAGTGCCTTAGCCGCCAATGGCCTTAAAATCGAAACGGTCGGAGTGTTGGGTAAACGTACTAGATTTCAAGAAGAATCTATACCTCAACTTATTGTCAGGGTGAGTTCTGTCTTTTCAAGTTTCGAATCTTTTTTTATTTCATTTTTTTTTTCTCTTTGTTTTAACTGGGATTAAAACTGGTGAAAAATGTAGAGATTAAAGGGCTTGCTAACTTTCAGATTTAGATAATTCAAATGAACATTACACTCAATTTATTTGCTACCAAATCTTAACGACTTGATTTTCTGATCAGAATTTTGTGTTGTCTTATGAAAATATAGCCAAATATCCAAGAAGAAGATCAGTTTTAATTTTTTCTATTTAAGAAAAATGCTTGCTTTTTTACTCTCTGTGCTAACTGCCGTTTTCCAGAAAAACTGACTGATCAGTGAATTAATGAGATTACTTGTTTTATTTGATTTTTATTTTTGTTGAAATGTGGAATATTTTTCTTCCAATTTTTTTTTCTTTTTTTTTTTTTATTTCTTTGTGATTAAGGCTGTAGGTGGTGATTACCTTGAAGATGATGACACACGAGAAAATGACAGTACTCTGCCGCCGAATGTTTTGCTTCACGATGACTCGTTGTTAGAAAATGTATGCGTTGCCGAAATAGATCTTTCAACCAGTCGTGCCAAGCTTTCTGCTCTAACTTTAGCGTGCATGCTGGCTTCTGGTGTGCTTGAAAGAAAAATTCAAAGTACTGGAGACTTAGTAGCTGAAAAATGTTGCTCCCTTCTCGATGAGGTATTTTATTTTTTACTTTGTTTCTCGATTCTCTTACTCATTTTAAAAAGTTAAAATATCTCTTATGCTTGTGAGCTCGCTTGCTAAGGAATTCAAAAATAACGACAGGATTAAAACTGATTCAAATGTTAGTTTCTTACTTACCTAATTTTTCTAATTTCTCTTTATGTGATTTTTTTGATTCAGCTGCTTCTTGCAGATAATTAGCCAGCGTAGGAATTGGGCAGTGCAGGCTAGTGCATTATTGCAACGTTCTGAATTTGACAAGATTAGCATGCGCCGAGTGGAACGTGCATGTCTGCAGATGGAGTCATTATCAAAATTGGTGAACAATGTAGAAAATAATGAGGTTGCTAAATTTTAGATTTGAATAATTTAAATATGGATATTACATCCAATTTGGGGTGCAAATCAAATCTGAATTTTCATTCAGAATTTTACGTTTCCTTAGAAAAATGTAATCTAAGCAAGATTATTTTAAAATAGCGCTTGTTGCTTCATTTTAAATACGATTCCATAGCGCTCTTTATTTCTTATAGGTGGATGAGAGTACTTTAAGGAAACGCTTGAAATTACTACTGGCAAGCGGGATGAAGCCATTTTGGTATGTTGATCTCGTTCATGCTGAAATCCTTCGCTCTATCGGATGCACAGCGGTTTGTCTTTTCATGTTTTCCAATGAAATATTTAAATTATTTTTTGCACGGCTAGCTTCGTTTTTAGCTTTTAAAATGTGAATAAGATGAATCTTTTTGTCATATTACTGTAATATCATATCAGTACGAGTGAGTATTGAAAAATAGTGTATTTTCTGTATATTTTTTATCCAGAGGTATGAGGTAATATGGTTGACTGGTAGTTGTGGTTTAAAACAGTGACAGGTTGACCAAATGTGGTTTTTTTGGAATGTCAGATTTTCTTAGTAGTTAAAACTTTTTTTAGTAGTATTCTTTCCATATCAGATTTGCAGGAAGCCTTGGTAATATTCGAAAGACAGGAAAGTTGGGATAATGTTATTGATTGTTATCAGTCACTTGGTCAATTAGAAAAAGCTGAACGATTAGTTCGTGATCTGCTTGCTAAGAATGAGAATGAATCAATTTACTGGTGTCTTTTGGGTGATATACTTCGTGAGCCAACTGCATATGAGAAAGCGATTGAGGTAATAAATTCATTACTATTTCTCTTCAAATTTACAATTCGGATCTTGTTGCTTAAGAAGAATTTTCTACAAGAGATTGAAAAAAAAAAAAAAGGTTTTTTTACAAGAGATTGAATATTCTTTCAAAGATTTGTCGTTTTTCTTGTAAAACTGTAAACACTATCATTGAATTGGAAGAGCAATTTTGGTATTATCATAGTTTAAAATTAAGGCTTCGAATGGGCGTTCATTTCGGGCTCACCGATCTTTAGGATTGCTGATGCTTCACCGCAAGAATTATTGTATTTCATACCGACATTTGAAACGTAGCCTTGAACTTCAGCCAATCAGCGTATGTTTAGTTTCCTTGTTTAACTTGAGTCGCTTGCAAAAAATCTTATCAAATCAAATGATCTCAACTGATGGATCGCATTGATCGCATTTACTCCTACTCATTAATACTATTATTAATAGAAACATTTAGGCCGGTTCTTTATATTATTGCATTTTAATGTCAACTTGTTTCATATTTTATTCAAGTCATTCGGCTGGTTCAATTTTGGTTGTTGTGCGTGGAAGCTCGAAAAATGGGAAGAAGCGGCGAAAGCTTATCGGGAATGTGTACGTTATGAACCTGCACATTTCCAAGCATGGAATAATCTTGCTGCTGTATATGAAAAACTAAACGATTCAGAACGAGCCAAAAGTGTTTTATGGGTCTCTTTTTAAATTTTCTATATATTCAATTTTTTTTTCATTTTTTAAGTACTAGTAAATTGTATGCTCGACTAACCATTTCATAATTTCTTCTGCTTAATTTAGAAGCCGCATTCTTAATATTATGTCAGTTTCGAAAATTCACCATTAATCTCAAGCAGGATTTATGAGGACGATCTTATCTGATTTAGTCAGCACTATTACATCTATACTGATTAACATGCACTAATTTGTTTCTGTGCAATAACTTTTTTTAAGAAAAATATCTCTTAAACTGAGTATTTCTAAATAGAGCTGACTTTGGGTAATGAAATTCATTTCGACTATTTTGAAAGATCAGAAAAGATTTTTGTCGTGATATATTTTCGTTAACTTCTAGAATCGTATCATTATTATTTTTGTTTTAGGAAGCTCTGAAATTGAATTTCGAACATACCAAGTTGCGAGAAAATTATATGCTTCTCTGCGTGCGTACGCATGATCTTCTATCAGCAATTACGACATTTCACGCGATATTAGATTTGGACCGACAATACAAAGACGATGCCGTAATCGAAGCGCTCACACAGAAATTAATCACTCTAAGAGAAGTAAAAACTTATCACTCTCTTCTTTATTATACAATAAAATACTTCGTTTACGGAAATTTGGAACTTTATTGCTTGAGTAGGAATTTGTAACTTGAAATCTGATAAGAGTTTACAAATAAGTGCGGTGGCAGAAAAAATCCAGTAAAACGAAAGAAAAGAAAATAACCAACAAGAAGGGGAATTATTACACTCAGTAATTTATGTCTGTATAATTATACATTAATCGTTACCATATTTGATTCATTCAAGAATTCAATGTTGTTTTTTTTATTTTCTCTCATTCTTAGAAGTATTTTTACATATTAAGGCATATTAAGTTCATGATGAAAGATACTAGAGAGGATGTCACTAATTTTCGTTTTTGATTAGTATCAAAGTACTTACTTGAAGGTGAACGAAGAGTATGTGAAACGCTTAATTAATAAGATGTGTGAATTACTGGGTAGAATAACTTCACAACAAAGTTGCTCTTCTACGGTTTGTTGTTTTTGTTTACCTTAATTCAACAATTTTTTTTTATGCATTTGGTGGCATTTCTCGATGGCATAGCTTTTAATTTTTGATAGCGAAACTGAACGCTTTTTTGTATTTTAGATCTGGCATTGTTATGCAGAGCTAAAACGGCCTAATTCAGAGTCATCCGTGAAAGATTATGATTTTTACGTAAAGTTGTTAGAGCGAGCTTTTGGGGCTTGTTATAATAAACAAGTAAATTTTCTACATCATTTCTTCCTACATCAAAATTCAACCTTTCTAAGTCTACAATTTTTAGTTGAAATCCCACTTTTTGAAACCAGTCACTAAGTTTTTAGATTCAAGTGCAAAAACTAGTACATTGAGCTTTTTTTTAAAGGATTGGTATAGAAATGTTGATTCATGTGTTGCTGTTTTGAATGCAGCCATGAAGTTGGAAGATTCCAAGAAAGTTTTGTCGGGAATGAAAAGTGTTGAGAACGATCTGGTAAGTGTTTTAATTCGGTTACGTTGTTTCAGTTGCAGGTATTTATCGGCTGGTAATGCTACTCATGATAAACTGGTTCGAGCACGGTAAATGTTAATTAGTCAAACCCGTGTTTCTGGAAAATGTGTACTGAATTAGATATCTGCACTGCATCTAGAATGATAAAATGCACTGCTTAATATAAATTGCATTTAATCATAGTCTTTAAATTGGTTTTCTCATGTAAATTGGCCATTCTAAATTTCAATATATTTTAGGTTAAACCTGAAATTCGAATAACTCTTCGGCCAGTTATAGCATCCATAGAGAAAATATATGGCGTAGATGCTATGGAAGCCTCTGATTCGTCCTTAAAAGAGTCATTACTAAAAGCGAAGTCATTTTTATCCTCTTGTTTGTAAGGTCACTGTATCTATCTCCCAAAATCTAATGAAAAATGTTGCTTTAGGAAGGAATGTCGGAAATTTCACAGGTAAGACTAGAAAATTTAGAACTATGTTCAAATTTATTTGATATTTCATTCCACCTAATGCTACTATTTAAGTATTAGATGATATTTGTTCATTATTCGAGCTATTTTAAGCAGTGAGACTAATTCTTCAATATTGGGAAAACCAGTCGTCTCACATAAAGCGAAGGCTTGATACATTACAAAAGTAGAGTCTCACAAAAGTAAGAAGCAATAAATAAACGCTTTCATTTTTTATTTTTCCTTCTACAGTGTAAATTTCAGTTATAATTTCAGTTATTAAGAATTTCAGTTATTTTCTTCGCTGACAATATCTTGAATTTTTCTAGTGATATCATAGTAGTTTTTGTTTGATTTTCTTTTTGCCATTATAAGGAAATAGTTCATTTCCAATTTAGCGCGAAGTTTTGAGATTGTGTGCTTTTTGTTGGAATTTGTCATTTTTCATTCGAAAATTTGTAAATTTCGTAAATTTTTAAGTTATTCTTGATACAAATTGAGATATAACTTATTATTCAAATAAGGAAAGGTACAAATTGAAATTTGATAACACATTTTCCAGTTGTTATTGCTATTCACACTTGATATTTGCCTTCTTCTTTCTCTTACGGTGAAAGAACTGTATTTTTTTGTTGCTGTTGTATTTTTCCGCCTGTTGGATAAAATTTTTTAATTCGAACAGTGCTTATGATATTTGTATGGTTTTGCTCTGCTTTCCTATTACTGATTTTTTTGGCCACATGCAGAAGGTCTGCTTACAGTTTCTACGTTCATTTACCAGGGTTGAAAGATTTACTGGGTCTCTAAACTTTTATACGAACTTGAATTTTATTGCAAACAAATCCCAGAAAGAGGCACATTGTTTATATTTGGAATACGTTATTATCATAAGTTTGCAACGACATCTGCAATAATCTTAAGTTTACAACTTAAAACGATACAAATTGAAGTCATTACTGCATTTTTCAATTGCTAACTTCATTCGTACTTGATAATTTGTTCCCTGCTTTCTTTTATCGGAGCATTTTGTTTTTTAGTGTGTGCTTTTCACTTTTTTTTTTTTTCGATATCTCATGTGTTGAAATGTTTATATATACAGAAAATTAAATAATGAAGCGAGAAGCTTGTCAAGCAGCAGTGATTAAAATTTTTTCAGAGAAGTCATTTCATCTACTGGACAATGTCATCAAATGAAGAAACGCCAACGACATCTGCAATAACTTCAATAACTCCAACAGCTGCAGTGGTGTCGGCTTTACCTATAACCGTTCAAGCTGCCTCTCATAATTCGCCTGCTTTTGTTAATTTGTCCGTTGGCGAACTACTTCAAAAGCAGCGTCGCATAACAGTCGTAACAGTGGTAAGGAAGTTACCGATTCAGAAGTTTCGGTTTGCAATGCTCGGAGTTTTGACATTTGATTCAATCCGTTTTGAAAAATCCACAAAAATTTAGCCGGCGTCAAGAGGTGTTACATCATCACCAGTGGGACTGGGAAATCGATTCCCAATAAAGCCAATGCCACACCAATCGCTTACAGACAGTGTTATCTCACGTTCATCGAGTTGTCCGTTAGGTTTGTTTTCATTTCTTTTTGCATCATATACCGGTATTGGTAAGACTAGTATTGGAAGGATGCAACAGTTGCAAGCATATATTTTAATTGGACAAATTATGTTGATTTAAGTTCTAATTGAATTTCATGTATTTTCCCCTTCAAAAATAAACCAATGTTTTTTGATAATGAAGTGATGTGCCAAAATTTGTCCTTTCAAATGAACATCTCCTTTTCGCCATTTGTCCCCATGACACTTAAACGTAAATCAAATGTCCTGCAATTAAGCTCTTCGTGTATCCGTTTATTTCTTGACTGCTATGAAAATAAGATATGCATTGATTGCTGTATGCAACGACTACTTCAGTTATAATTGATGTTTTGAATTTTAAAAGTGAATTATTTAGATTACAAAATTCAGTTCAAAAATTACAGAGCAGTCTAAAACGTTTGAATATACTGAAGAGAGTTGGGTTGTGTTTATGATTAGTCATTGAAATATTGATAATATAGTTATCTGAAATTGTTTTTCAAATGGGTACTTAAAATTATCATTCTTCTACAGGAATAAATGTATCTTTGATCTGAATGAAGAGAACAATTAAAATGCTGTCGAAGGTGCACTTGATGCATTTTTGAAGTAAAAAATAAACTTATCTGCTTAACTTTTTATACATTCCTTTAGTTCTTTAAGAATATACAAAGTAATATCAGGACTATTCGCGAAAGTCAAAATGAGATGCTTTAGAATGTTTAGCTTTTTTTTTTTATTTAGATCCCAATAAATTAAAAGAAGCTATAGCGGAACCTTCGCAGCTTAATGTTGCACGGAAACTAAATGTCATTGATATAATCAAATCGGTAGGCGCTTCTGAGCAGGTATTGATTATTTTATTTTATATTGGTTCTCTAAATTAATTATTCTCTGAATTCAAATTTAATTTTTAAGGGAGACTTATTTTTTGGGGAATTCAGTTCCGGTTTTTTAACGGTGAAAATGGTAAAGTTTTAGCCTCATTTGGTAGCAGCATCAGGATCGACATCGATTCTTGGATCCTTGCAGTTGGATGATCTCATACGGCAAATTGATCCTACCTCAATTCTTGATGACCCTGTAAAAACTATGCTCATTGAATTTGTCGACGATTTCGTTAATCAGGTATCTTGGAAGTATTTTCGACGATCGAGGATATTTCTGACGATTAAATTTTAATAGCGAGGCAATCTTTTTTGATTATGGATTTAAAAGGTTTCACTATGGATCTTGAACTTTTCACAGTCTTAAATTTTTCTTCTAGGTCATTGAACGGTCTTGTAAGCTTGCTCGTCATCGTGGTTCGGATGCGCTAGAAGCTACAGATGTTGATTTCATTCTGCGACGATATTATAACTATCCTACCCTTCTAAAAAGTGAACCTCAGGCAAAGTCCGACAGTGTGGAGAATATTGAAAAAAGTGCCGAAATGACGGCACATAATCAACGAATGGCATTAATTAAGAAAACTCTTAAAAAACCCTAATTTTTCCATTTGTTCATCTTACGATTGCTTCGACTTATTCTTTATTTTCCAGACTTGGTTTTATTTTCGATTATTAGGATACAAACCTGATTATTTTGTAAACACATTATCCATTCTGCTTTTTATAAATTTCAGGGACTTCAAAACTTCTAGAAACTTTTTATAAATTTAATTTTTTAATTCTGTTTATGTAAAAGATATCAATTAATAACTTTTTCCTGCTCCTTCTTATGAAAGTCAGCCAATTTTTTTACCGACTAATGTTCGCTCTTAGTTGTGAATAGTGTCTTTTCTGCGCCAGCACTGGAAAAAATTTGATGGTTTTTAACTTAGTTGCTTTTTAATTCTTGTTCACTCCTTTTGCATACTAACACTGTCGATGAATATTTTTGGCATTTTTAGTTGTTTTCTCAGATCTCGCAGATATAAGCAAGTTTTTTATTACCTTACTTTTTTTTATATTTAGTTGTGTAGCCTTGTTGTGCTTACATTTTGAAAATTTGCCGTTTTAGGTGAGTATTAGATGCATTTTGATTTTGATGGCTTTAAATATTCACGCTTCCACTTAATCTATCCCATGATTTGTGCAAATCTTTCTTTCCAAGTTATTCCTTTTTTGATTTCATTTCTAGATTATAATCATTTAAGCTGAGTTAAACAGATTTTCCTTTTCCATGAAATAGTGCGATTTATATGAGCTACTGAAATATATAAGCTCTGGAGACTAATATTATTTGGATATGAAGTATCTTTGGCACAATAGCCGCAACTTTTGAATTGAGATTTTCGAGTCTATGATTTTTGGTGCTACGTCTTTATGTTCAAAAAAGTTTTGAGTGTTTATTATCATATTCATTTTCGATATAAATTGTTTGTTTCGTGGATATTGTTTCTTAATGGAAATAATATAATATGCAGTTATAGTCAGATTTGGCATTAAATGTTGCTTTGTCTTTCCAGTATAGATTTCGAAGATGTGTTTGTTTGACTGTCAAAGTGCAAATAGCACATGGAAGCAAATGTGCAGAAATGTTAATATGACTGACTGTCCTAGCGTGGCGAAAATAGATTAGAACAGAATTTTTTTTTTTATTATATCTGTTTTCAGTACTGTGTTGCTGCAGTCGACTTCACATGACAATGTTAAAACCTATAACATAAGTTCAGAGGGGAATGTATCATATTGCGATTGATTCTCAAAAAATAAATTGAAGTATGATATAAACATAATTGGTGCAAATGATGTAAAAGTATGAGATCAGGATCCGACATATCCGTTTATGTCAAAAGTTTCATCTGGGCAGCAGTTTCTTAGCGCGTAGATGGCAGCAATTCGTTAGATATGAAAACAGGCAAGGGAGATCATGGCATGCATTCCAAAATTGAGTGAAAACAGCAAACAGATGCTGGTGAATAATATTCACCGATAGCGGCCTTGAACCGGTTTTTAATTTCAAATGGACCATCCCCATACTGATGAAACGATGATAGTAGATGAGGTAGGTGTATTTGTAAACTTTATCGCGTGTAGAACTACTTTGGTTCTTTAATAAAAAATATTAGCAAAAATATCAAACTCATTAATTTTGATCTATTTAGCTCATCGTATTGATTATCAAATCGTGTGTAAATTGGTAAGATATTTTAATTTGATGATTCACTGTCGTGGAAATACTACCATTTTGCAATAACACTTTTTTCCTATCATTTTATGAATATTTTTCATTAATTAAATCTCATTAAAGTATTATCGCATCTCTATTTCTGCATTATTTTATAATGAATTGTGTTATTATCGCCCGCAGTGTTTTTGGCATAGACCCAGAAGTTTTTTTTTTTTTTAAGAATAATTTTGAAAAATGTATTTATTTGCGAACTTAGCTAAATTTCTAGTAAATAATTTTTGATAATGTATAAAAATCTTAATCATTCTGTTTTGCCAGCAAACGTGACCAAACGTAACAATGGTCAAAAAATTTTGGTTAAAAGCCTCGATAGCTTTGCTTATCAACTTCAAAACTTGGGCTGAGTAAGTTTATTTTTTGAAGGTATATATGACGTATAACGTTATCTTTCTTCTTTTTCAGTTGCATTACATTAGTTGTACTACATTTCCTATGTGACTTCCTTATACTCATTCAAGATAATGTCAGCCAGTAATGTCTCTTTTTAATTTATTCACTTCAGTGTCATGTTAAGTAATTTCAGTATTTCTTTATATGCATAACAAAGTGGGATGATTAGACAGTATTAAATTGATTAATGTTTAATCTTTAAGATTGAAAAAAGAATAACAAATTTTAGAGAGAATATAAAGAAATTAAGTGAAAAAATATACTAGAAATAAATGTTGAAATATGAAGCTTGTGTAGAGAAATAAAACTTTCAACAATTTTTCCAAATTTAAAAATTCTCGGCATGAAAAGTTTCAGGAATGTTTATTGCACATATTACCGGAACACAGACGAAATTACATGCGGGTATGTCCTTTTTTCGGTTCGATTCAAAATAATGGGAAAGAATAAAATACTAAATATAAATTAAAAATTAAGAAAGAGGGAAACGGTAATTGTTAAATTCAGGGCAAGCGATGAATAAGCCTAAATTCAAATTCCATCGGAATTTATTCCTACAATAATTCGTAAATTTTAAATGTTTTAAAACCGTATTTAATTAATACCATTCACAAATGTTATCCGAAGTTTTATAGTACTGTCACTTGTCAAACGCATGTTCCGTTTGGGAACAACTTTGAAGAGGAAGAAGGCTTGGAAACAAAATTGCCACTTGGTTGGTATCGTATTGGTACGCTGCAAATTCGACATGACTCATCGTGGTTTAACTTGTATCGGAGACGTGCTTCTGGTTCAGGATATTGGGATTTTTATACAATGATTCCGGAGCGAAATTGTATTGGGTTAAGTCGGCTTTAAAAATTGTGAAAAAATTTTCAGTAGTTGGTTTCATTTAAAAAATCGTCTTCCATTTGGGAAAGTCCTTGAAAATAGAAACTTTGGATGGCTTTCAAATATATATCTTTGAGTTAATTTTAACGTACATTTTCTTATAGTTTTCATGCTATCAGCCTGCTATTATGATCGTAAGAGAAGCTAAATTTTAAAGAAATTTTAATGCAAGTTACAATGATTATTAAGTGATCCTCAGTGAATTTTCAGAAATTTTGGCCTTCATGCAGGTGAGAATTTGCCTGGTTCGGTGACACTAAAAGACAAACGCTGTTTTGATCGATTGATTCGACAGATTGAACGCAAAACAACTACTGAAAAATTTGATGTTTATCAATGTAGGAAATGTATATTCAATACCTGCTGGTTAGGTACTCGTTTGCTCCCATCTTATCGTGAATATCTGACTAATCTAAGGTCTATTTAGAAACTATAAAACTAATGAACTATAAAAAATCCGAGATTTAAAGACGATTTTGAATTTTAGTCAGAAAACTTTATCGCGCATTGCTTTTCCTCATATTTGCGTTGCTTGTATTACAGCGCAGCTGTGCCACAGTTTAAAACTTTCTGTAATTGTGCAGATGGAAAATTCTTGAATGAGATTTATCAAATTATGTGCAATCAGGAACTCTTAATCATTAATAAAATGCACATCCAAAAATAGACTAAGATGAGCAAAGGCGTAGGTAGATGTATGTACTTTGATTACAAACGAGATTAAAAACACTAAACTTTACAAAATATGCAAACTTAATAAAACTAATTTTCAGTTAAAAAACTAAGATTCGAACTTATTAATAACTGCATTTCCTTAAGGCCATTATAGCTTCTGTTGCGTGGCTATTTTCTATATAGGCCACCACTGCTTTTTTAAATACTTTGGACTCAATTTAATTGAAATCATGCAGGAACTTCATGAAGTAACTTTTGACGTTCAAGATTTACCAAGCATTTTAATTTGTTCGTTGTACATCTACTAAAATGTACAAAAATTAGGTCAAAAAATACGCAAATGAACAATTTCTCCAAATCTATGTGAAATTAAACTGAAATATAAAATATTTATGTTTAGAGCTAACGCTTAAAAGTCGTGAATCAGAACCACGTGCCGAAATTTCTGATCGGAAAATAATGTGGCGGGAGCTTCATTTCGAATTTAAAAGTCACAAAATCCCATTAATAATTAAATTTTGTTCTACCGGTATTAACCAAACATAACACTGAACTGGATTTACATGTTTCTATACGTCGAATATTTAAAAATCTAAAATTGAAAGTGAGCAAACAATTTTATTCCCAAATATCAACTAAGTTTGCTTGGTAACGTATTTTCCTTTCGTAATGTTTTCAGTTATGATTTTACATATTAAAAAAAATTAAACAATTCGACAAATCAACTTCAAAATTCCATTAAATTTAATTCAGTAGGGAAGAAACAAATTTCTCGAGCGAATCGTACGTAAGCCATATTGTAAATGCTATGCCACATACAACTAATGTCGCAATTCCGAGCGCCATATAACAGCGTGACATAGCTCCACTACTTCTTTTCACTTTTGGTGGAACGGACAAAGGCCTCATATCGATCGATTTTTTTGCATGAATAACACTGAAATTTAAAAAAAAAAAGTAATTGATAGTATTATTTAAAAGCGTACATTTGCTATGAAATATTTCCTAAATCATGCCATCTGAGAAGAGTAAGACTGCTGATAACTTCAATGAAAAGAAAGGAATAATGTGACATAAGCACTGAGTAATGGAAAAGTTGAAATGAAGAAATATGGGATGATATCAGTTAAGGCCGTGAAAATATGCTCTTGCTATTCACTGAATATTTAATTGAAGAGTTTTCTTCAGTTTTCTCACTATTTTATTTTCCGTCAGATTTTATAATTGACATCGCAGATGCTTCTTTCTCACATTCCTTTATCATTCTCACCATTAACGTTCATTATTACCACTATTTATTATTAATTATTATATAATTATTGCATTATTATCAATTGTTGTATTATTGTAACCCTTTCA